ATAACAGGTCGATAGGGAATTTAGTTACGAATTCAACGAGGTATGACATTCTACTTTTGGACAACTATTTTTATTGCTATCGACAAAATACTGATTATTTTTCACATAAAATTATTTTTACAAATTTTCGCATTTTCGATAAGGGGTACCATCATCAAAATTTGCGAAAAATGGCAAAAAATTAAAATTTGTTTGTTTAATAACAGGTCGATAGGAAATTTAGTTACGAATTCAACGAGGTATGACATTCTACTTTTGGACAACTATTTTTGTTGCTATCGTCAAAATACTGATTATTTTTCACATAAAATTATTTTTACAAATTTTCGCATTTTCGATAAGGGGTACCATCATCAAAATTTGCGAAAAATGGCAAAAAATTAAAATTTGTTTGTTTAATAACAGGTCGATAGGGAATTTAGTTACGAATTCAACGATGTATGACATTCTACTTTTGGACAACTATTTTTATTGCTATCGACAAAATACTGATTATTTTTCACATAAAATTATTTTTACAAATTTTCGCATTTTCGATAAGGGGTACCATCATCAAAATTTGCGAAAAATGGCAAAAAATTAAAATTTGTTTGTTTAATAACAGGTCGATAGGGAATTTAGTTACGAATTCAACGAGGTATGACATTCTACTTTTGGACAACTATTTTTATTGCTATCGACAAAATACTGATTATTTTTCACATAAAATTATTTTTACAAATTTTCGCATTTTCGATAAGGGGTACCATCATCAAAATTTGCGAAAAATGGCAAAAAATTAAAATTTGTTTGTTTAATAACAGGTCGATAGGGAATTTAGTTACGAATTCAACGAGGTATGACATTCTACTTTTGGACAACTATTTTTATTGCTATCGACAAAATACTGATTATTTTTCACATAAAATTATTTTTACAAATTTTCGCATTTTCGATAAGGGGTACCATCATCAAAATTTGCGAAAAATGGCAAAAAATTAAAATTTGTTTGTTTAATAACAGGTCGATAGGGAATTTAGTTACGAATTCAACGAGGTATGACATTCTACTTTTGGACAACTATTTTTATTGCTATCGACAAAATACTGATTATTTTTCACATAAAATTATTTTTACAAATTTTCGCATTTTCGATAAGGGGTACCATCATCAAAATTTGCGAAAAATGGCAAAAAATTAAAATTTGTTTGTTTAATAACAGGTCGATAGGGAATTTAGTTACGAATTCAACGAGGTATGACATTCTACTTTTGGACAACTATTTTTATTGCTATCGACAAAATACTGATTATTTTTCACATAAAATTATTTTTACAAATTTTCGCATTTTCGATAAGGGGTACCATCATCAAAATTTGCGAAAAATGGCAAAAAATTAAAATTTGTTTGTTTAATAACAGGTCGATTGGGAATTTAGTTACGAATTCAACGAGGTATGACATTCTACTTTTGGACAACTATTTTTATTGCTATCGACAAAATACTGATTATTTTTCACATAAAATTATTTTTAAAAATTTTCGCATTTTCGATAAGGGGTACCATCATCAAAATTTGCGAAAAATGGCAAAAAATTAAAATTTGTTTGTTTAATAACAGGTCGATAGGGAATTTAGTTACGAATTCAACGAGGTATGACATTCTACTTTTGGACAACTATTTTTATTGCTATCGACAAAATACTGATTATTTTTCACATAAAATTATTTTTACAAATTTTCGCATTTTCGATAAGGGGTACCATCATCAAAATTTGCGAAAAATGGCAAAAAATTAAAATTTGTTTGTTTAATAACAGGTCGATAGGGAATTTAGTTACGAATTCAACGAGGTATGACATTCTACTTTTGGACAACTATTTTTATTGCTATCGACAAAATACTGATTATTTTTCACATAAAATTATTTTTACAAATTTTCGCATTTTCGATAAGGGGTACCATCATCAAAATTTGCGAAAAATGGCAAAAAATTAAAATTTGTTTGTTTAATAACAGGTCGATAGGGAATTTAGTTACGAATTCAACGAGGTATGACATTCTACTTTTGGACAACTATTTTTATTGCTATCGACAAAATACTGATTATTTTTCACATAAAATTATTTTTACAAATTTTCGCATTTTCGATAAGGGGTACCATCATCAAAATTTGCGAAAAATGGCAAAAAATTAAAATTTGTTTGTTTAATAACAGGTCGATAGGGAATTTAGTTACGAATTCAACGAGGTATGACATTCTACTTTTGGACAACTATTTTTATTGCTATCGACAAAATACTGATTATTTTTCACATAAAATTATTTTTACAAATTTTCGCATTTTCGATAAGGGGTACCATCATCAAAATTTGCGAAAAATGGCAAAAAATTAAAATTTGTTTGTTTAATAACAGGTCGATAGGGAATTTAGTTACTAATTCAACGAGGTATGACATTCTACTTTTGGACAACTATTTTTATTGCTATCGACAAAATACTGATTATTTTTCACATAAAATTATTTTTACAAATTTTCGCATTTTCGATAAGGGGGGGTATTTTCGATCAAAATTTGCGAAAAATGTCAAAAAATTAAAATTTGTTTGTTTAATAACAGGTCGATAGGGAATTTAGTTACGAATTCAACGAGGTATGACATTCTACTTTTGGACAACTATTTTTATTGCTACCGACAAAATACTGATTATTTTTCACATAAAATTATTTTTACAAATTTTCGCATTTTCGATAAGGGGTACCATCATCAAAATTTGCGAAAAATGGCAAAAAATTAAAATTTGTTTGTTTAATAACAGGTCGATAGGGAATTTAGTTACGAATTCAACGAGGTATGACATTCTACTTTTGGACAACTATTTTTATTGCTATCGACAAAATACTGATTATTTTTCACATAAAATTATTTTTACAAATTTTCGCATTTTCGATAAGGGGTACCATCATCAAAATTTGCGAAAAATGGCAAAAAATTAAAATTTGTTTGTTTAATAACAGGTCGATAGGGAATTTAGTTACGAATTCAACGAGGTATGACATTCTACTTTTGGACAACTATTTTTATTGCTATCGACAAAATACTGATTATTTTTCACATAAAATTATTTTTACAAATTTTCGCATTTTCGATAAGGGGTACCATCATCAAAATTTGCGAAAAATGGCAAAAAATTAAAATTTGTTTGTTTAATAACAGGTCGATAGGGAATTTAGTTACGAATTCAACGAGGTATGACATTCTACTTTTGGACAACTATTTTTATTGCTATCGACAAAATACTGATTATTTTTCACATAAAATTATTTTTACAAATTTTCGCATTTTCGATAAGGGGTACCATCATCAAAATTTGCGAAAAATGGCAAAAAATTAAAATTTGTTTGTTTAATAACAGGTCGATAGGGAATTTAGTTACGAATTCAACGAGGTATGACATCCTACTTTTGGACAACTATTTTTATTGCTATCGACAAAATACTGATTATTTTTCACATAAAATTATTTTTACAAATTTTCGCATTTTCGATAAGGGGGGGGTATTTTCGATCAAAATTTGCGAAAAATGGCAAAAAATTAAAATTTGTTTGTTTAATAACAGGTCGATAGGGAATTTAGTTACGAATTCAACGAGGTATGACATTCTACTTTTGGACAACTATTTTTATTGCTATCGACAAAATACTGATTATTTTTCACATAAAATTATTTTTACAAATTTTCGCATTTTCGATAAGGGGTACCATCATCAAAATTTGCGAAAAATGGCAAAAAATTAAAATTTGTTTGTTTAATTACATGTCGATAGGGAATTTAGTTACGAATTAAACGAGGTATGACATCCTACTTTTGGACAACTATTTTTATTGCTATCGACAAAATACTGATTATTTTTCACATAAAATTATTTTTACAAATTTTCGCATTTTCGATAAGGGGGGGTATTTTCGATCAAAATTTGCGAAAAATGGCAAAAAATTAAAATTTGTTTGTTTAATAACAGGTCGATAGGGAATTTAGTTACGAATTCAACGAGGTATGACATTCTACTTTTGGACAACTATTTTTATTGCTATCGACAAAATACTGATTATTTTTCACATAAAATTATTTTTACAAATTTTCGCATTTTCGATAAGGGGTAATTCATCAAAATTTGCGAAAAATGGCAAAAAATTAAAATTTGTTTGTTTAATAACAGGTCGATAGGGAATTTAGTTACGAATTCAACGAGGTATGACATTCTACTTTTGGACAACTATTTTTATTGCTATCGACAAAATACTGATTATTTTTCACATAAAATTATTTTTACAAATTTTCGCATTTTCGATAAGGGGTACCATCATCAAAATTTGCGAAAAATGGCAAAAAATTAAAATTTGTTTGTTTAATAACAGGTCGATAGGGAATTTAGTTACGAATTCAACGAGGTATGACATTCTACTTTTGGACAACTATTTTTATTGCTATCGACAAAATACTGATTATTTTTCACATAAAATTATTTTTACAAATTTTCGCATTTTCGATAAGGGGTACCATCATCAAAATTTGCGAAAAATGGCAAAAAATTAAAATTTGTTTGTTTAATAACAGGTCGATAGGGAATTTAGTTACGAATTCAACGAGGTATGACATTCTACTTTTGGACAACTATTTTTATTGCTATCGACAAAATACTGATTATTTTTCACATAAAATTATTTTTACAAATTTTCGCATTTTCGATAAGGGGTACCATCATCAAAATTTACGAAAAATGGCAAAAAATTAAAATTTGTTTATTTAAAAAATTAAATAATAACAAAACTAATTAAAAATTAAAAAAAATTGAATAAAACAAAATTTCTAAATTTAAATGCAGATTTTTAGAAACATTAATTAGATGTATAAATATTTAAATAATTATATAATTTGCGAGGGAATAACGCTCAGGTACATAACTAATATTTTAAATCCTTTTTTTTGTCAGCGGCTAGAGTACTAAAGAAAAACAACTGGTTGTTTCCATTCTCTTTTCAAAATAAATATTTATTCAGTTTTTGTGTTTTTGTTGCAATCATGTCTCTCGATTTTTAATATTAATTTGTTTATTATTTAAATCAATTAATTCCTTTGTTTTTCGCTTAAAATTAGTTATTATCGTCAATGTGACGAAAGTTATTTGTCTGCCAATAATTCTTATTGACAACAGACTTCTTGCTAATTTTTTGGTTTTTTCTTAGCCATTTCCATTTTTACATGCATAATTTTCGGGAAGATTTTATGGTTTTCTTTTTCGCGATTGGCAATCGACAGAAATTCAGTAACGGTTTAATAATTATGCAATTAGCTATTTAAATTGATGTGGTAGTTAGACTTGGGACACAGGTGGAGGCTTGGATTTGGATTCGGGTTGGCTGGCAGATTTCTGCTCGGGTCAGTTTAGTGCTAAACATTCGCAGTTTATAGACTACGTTTTTGTCATTTAGTTAAATGCTAATTTTAAATATATTCGCTTTGTTTAAAAAAGTGTCTCGAATCGGTCTTTAATGCGCTATTTATTGTTGAACTCTGTTTAATTGCCCTGGGGGGTTTGAGAACATGCGGAGTGCAATTGAAACGAAATTCGAACTCTTCGGCTTGCTGATTTCTTTATTTTTTGTTTGTAATACGAACAATTCGAATGCTTTCATTTTTCATTTGTCATCTTTCATGTCTGACTGACTGTGTGTGTTGTTTGGGCGTGTACCAACCGTTTTGTAATTAGCTTTTTGCATTTCGCGATTGCGTGTAACTCTGATCAGAGGAAATTAGTTAATACTTGCAAAGTAGGTAAGTCGTAAGTGAGTAGTAGAGTTTTCAAATGAAAAAGCGCTTGGCTCACTACAAGTTTGGTTTCGTGGTAATTTCATGTTCTTTATCAATTTTAAATTCGTTTATCGTTTTAGTATTCGCCTTCCCTCGCAACTGCACCATTTCATTAACTTTATCTCTGGTAATCGCTTGGGTCGAAGGTCGACCTCTCCTAATGTAGGACGCTTAGTTTATGGCTCCTTTTGCAGGTCACCGCATTTTATAATTGCCTAGTTAACGCTAAATTATTATTACTTGTATTATACATAATCTCGTACATGTAGAGTTCAATCTTTTAAAGAGTGTAGAAAATGGTTTGCTTCTTAAAACAGCTTCTTTTTATCAAAAAGACATCCATACACATATACGTAGTTCTAATTATGCGCCTAGCTGCTCAAAGATTAGCACTAAATTAATTATAAAAAAAATTAAATTTAAAATGCACACACCCTCCGCAACTCTATCTCTTCACATCCACATCTTATTCTGATTGTGATTCCCTCTATTTCAACTCAAGATCTCAATTTCAACTGGAATTCGCACCTCGAAAAACAACAACCTCATGGGGACAGAGCAGTTTTCGGTAGGATTACCCATCGCTCTGGGCGCAAGTAAAAGTCGTCTCATATCAAATCTAAATTTAAATGTACCTAAATGCAAATAAACCATACAAAGTGAGTGTATACACATTAAACGCTTAGATCTGATCTGCAGTTCCTTCAGTTGATTCAGCACTCGATTGGTTTGCTTCTGACAATCTGACAATCTGAAATTTTGACATCGGGCAATAGTAGCTATGTATAGGGCCGATCTGGTTTATCCGTTAAGTAAACTTTATGTCTGGCTATCAAAAGTGTTGGCTTGTCACACAATTCTGTTAGAAATTCTTTTTGCAGGACGAAAATAAGAAAATGGGTTCTTTATTTATGAGGGGACAGAGGACAGAGGAGTGCGATTAACTCGGCAGTGTTTCTATGCTTTTTCGTCCTTCGATCATTAACATTCTCATTCGACAAGGAGGTAGGTTTTTCATTGATTTTGGTTTTTGTGTAGAAAACATTCTCGTTTCAAGGTTTCTTAGGTGGGTTCCGGAAAGAGTGTTTGAGTTCGTCTTTTTTGGGGGCTATACCGTAAATATCACTGTTTTGCTTTATGCTTTTTTGGGGAGAGCAGAGTAAAGTAGACAAAATTCGAAGCTCGTTTTTAGGAATACTCAGGGGTGTAGGTAAGTACATAGACATAGACAGGGAGAACTCATCCGAAAACTATGCGAAATTTCCAACAAAATTGTGATTTATTCATGTGATTTCGAGTGGCATTGGTTAGGTTCGGTTGGTTGGTTTTTGCTTTTATTATTTGATAGTGGGTTTCTGTTCTTGCGCTGCTTAGCTTCTTTTGCTTAGTGTCTTTAGTTTTGCTCGATTCCGTACTGTTTTATTAAAAATATATCCATATATATGTGTATGTATATATGCGGTGATATATGTGTCATAAAATATATATACACCTGTTGATCTTGTATTGCTAGTTCGGTTTTGGGATCTCTGGTTTTCAATTTCCGTTTATTATTACTTTGACTAATTAATTGGTGACTATAACTCGGTTTCTTTCGCCCTTAATGCTTACTCAATTCGCTACAATATTTCAACAATAAATTTTCTAAAAACATGATGTTCAACGAACATGCCTCCCCTTTCCGAGTTCGTGAATGCGTCTTTTAAAAATTAATTCAATTCACTATGAGTATATGTATGTATATATAGACCTTTGTTAATATCCATTATTATGTGTCAGTTTGTTACCATTTACAATCAGCTATCTTGCAAATATCTCTCCAAAAGCGTTCCAAAAGATGAACAAGTTAAATGACAAGTAAAATCAATGTGAGTATGCACTCAAATGGGATTTCGCAAGGGTTTTGTTTCACTGGGATCATATTTTGTTTGCAAACTGGAATGAAGGAAATCAAACAAAATAGTGTTGGTCCACGTGATCCCGAAATGAAAACCGAAAGCGAAAATATTAGAGCTCAAAAATGCAGACAACAAAGGGTCATCCGACCATAACTTGTACCCCTCAACCCACTGTCCTTATGTGCCTATCCTGTTTTCGTCCTTTCCTACGAATAAATGGTTTCATTCCCTTGTTTTGCATTTGTCAATTAAGTGCTTCAGTGTCGGTGTGTCTCTGTACGTGAGCGTGTTGCCATTTTAAATACATATCTAATGTCTCATAGGAACAATATCTTATACATATATCATATATCTTAGGTGTATCTGTGTGTGTGTGTGTGTCTGCCGTCTGTTCACCTTACATAAATTATAACAACTCAGCATATTAATTAACTTATAACTCTGTTATTGTACATGCAATTACCTAGATGCATGTGAGTGTGTCTGTGTCAGTGGGTGTACACATGTAACCTTTGAGGGTCCTGTCCCGCGATGTTTCCTTGTTGTCCTTTTTATTGGCTATCCCTAACCAATTGTTGTTTCTTTCTGCTTGCTTAACTCTTATAATTTTGTGTGTGTGTGTGTAGCTTACTTAACACTTTTTCGGTTCTTGTACGGCAGTAATTTTTGCTTTTTTGTTTGGTTTGTCCATAAAATATTTTTTAGTACATGATTTTGTCTGGTTTCTTTTTTCTTTTTTTTCTTGCAACATTTTCTTTTGCTCTTTCTCTTTACTTAAAAATGTAATTAACAATTTTTTATTTTTATTATTTTTTTGTAGTTTTTTTTCGGTTTGTTTTGGTTTGCTTTGTTTTGAAGCAGCTTTGCTAGTTTTTGGTTTTTGAAAAAGAACTTAACTAGGCATCTCCCGTCCGCCGATGCTTCCGACGTATCCGTATCTTAATGGCCTAATTCGAGCGTCCTTATTGCACGATTATGTGCGGAGCCGAGAGCAGCACGGTAACCGTTGCAATAATCGTGAAGAGCGTGAAAACAATTAAACAAAATCTGTGGAGTAGAAGAGCAAGCAAAGCGCTGGGTTAGCAAACAAATCAGCAGGGCTGCCAAACAAAATGGCGTCCGGCAGTCGGCCATCTTTCAATATTTGAGCCACGTGCACGGATAGGTGTGTGTGTGTGCTGCTGTGCGTGCTGGTGTATGTGTGCATGCGTGAGGCACTGTGCTTGTGTGCGTTTATCCCGCCGGAAGTCGTGTGGCCTTATTGTTTGACGTGCACAGCAGGCGGCTGTCGAAAGCTGCCGGTTTGGTTCAGTAAATTCACACCCATTCGCGAGTACATATCTTAAAGTTCACTACTGTGTGGGTGAGTGCGGATGGACAATGGTGTAGTGGTTGGAAATATTAAAAAGCAGTAGAGTCACGCAGATATTGGATCAAAACGTGATTTTTCAAGTGTGACATGTTTCCAGTTGGATTGAAAACATTCTGTCATTTGCTTGAAAGAATGACATGTTTGTTTTAAGAGGAATTTTATTCATATTCGATCGTGATCTAGTCCTGATCTATTTAATCTGGATTAGATCGTCTTACAAAATGAACTACAATATGTTGTTAGTTTTTCACATTCTTACCTATCCACAACCATTGCCGCGAACTTCCAATCGCCAATCAATTCCGCTTCGTCGTCAGCTTTGCGCATGCGCGCCGTAATAAATTGCAATTCTTTGAGAATTAGGTGAAGATCTTTGTGATTGCAGCCGATGGCCGTGTGGTGCTCCTCCACCGTTGTGGGCCGACCGAAGCTACTGCAGATTCAAATTTCAAAACATTTTAATCAGAAAACTTGGGCAATTCGGAGGTGAACTTACGCCGACGATCCGATGGCGGTCTGGGAGCCCGATATTGTGTGCCGAAAGTCGTCGTCGATGTCGAGGACATTGGCCAACAGGGACTTGGAGGAGCGCTCCTTCAGCTCCAGCTCCTTCATGCGATTGCTTAGTAGTATTGTTTTGCGTGTGATCTTGCGGCCGGGTCGACCCATTCGCAAGATCCAGGGCAGCCATTGTAGGAAAACGGACTTGATCTGGTTATGGGGAGGAGCCGGAAATCAAACGGGGAACAGTGAGTGACGCAAGTGATGGGGGACTCACCCACGGTGGCATCTCGTGAATGTCCGCTGTGCGGTGATGGTAGTTGAGCACCACTACTGTCAGCACCACCGACGATGCGACCATGAACATGATGCAATTGAAGTAGGTGCCTATGGATTCAGGTGCGGATTTTATTTTGGGGTGGCGGATTGCGGTTTGCGGATGCCAGATTGAATTGGGGTGAACAGAGAGCAGAGAAAATGCCTATATTAGAGTGGTGCTCTGGGGTCTCTCAAAATCATCAAAACACTAAGAACAGAAGCTCGAAATTATAATTTACAAAAATAGTACAACATTACTTTAGTTTAGCTTCATTACATGAAAGACTTTGGTTAGATTTTCGATTAGAGAAAGTAGCGTAATCAAAATTACTGTGTTGTTACAATGCTGTGACTATGTTACGTTACGCATGTTACTTTACGTTGCGGATGCTACTAAGTAATGCCTAGTGAAAGCCACTACGTTTGGATTTAAGTTAAACACTTTTAGGTTTCATTCTCTTCATGCACTTTAGTGTGAGCTACTTTGAATAGGAGTCATGCACTGGTATGGCTTTAAGAATTGAAGACGAATTCGAAGCAGAGGACAGTAAAATCCCATTAAACAGGATACTTTCAAGTGCAATATTTTGTTTTTGATATTTATTAAAATTTATACTCAAGCTATGGTACGCCGATATATTTTTCTGAAACTTTACTGTCCTTGCTCCTTCTACTCTAATTAAAGCAAGCAATTTGTTGGTGGACTGGGGTCATCGGTTTTCTGTGTCGGGGTATGTAAATTTCAAATTGTTCTAGAGAATGCTGGGAATTGATATTTTAATTGCTTCGGCGAACGGATTATGTGTTTGCAATTGATTTAACGTTTCTGCAGTTTACTGTATGCTCTCTGAATAGGTAATTATGATTGAGTAATCGGTTTCATTAGTTCATTGCTTTTAGGGGGCTTTTGATACTTGGGTTTGAGGAGCAACGCCTAATTGCGGTTACCTTAAGCGAAGAATTAAATATGTACATAGCGATTCCGATTTGCAGATGGGTGGACAAGCTATAGGTGGAGCTATAGCACCCTCAGTCGCAAAGTCGGCTATAGAATCGGGATAGAATCGAGTGTGGTTATCGTGTTAGTTGGAGTCTCTCGCAGAGTCAAAGAGGTTCAGCCAAAAGTCTAAAGAAGCGGAGGTTGTTCGATGGGGTTAGTTTCGGGTTGGGGTTTTGGGTATTGGGTTTTGGGTTCTGGGTTATAAGGTTCCAAAAATACTCTTGGTTCATCATCTGCATCTCGTGTTTATCCAGTTGGAGTTGGATCATGCTCTTCATCGCTTAACATTCTTTTACCTACTTTAGTCGGTCTAGTTGGGTTTTTACAAGATTCACTTTTGATTTTTAGCGCAAACTTTCGTTATGTCTAATAAGTACTTTGTACAATCGTTTTTGGTTTTCATATTCATTTGTTTTTGATTTATCAGCTAAAAGAGAGAAGAGTTTGGTTTTTTAAAGCTCTAGAATTTTAATTTAGTTTGATTGGATGTTGATTGTATTTTTTTTTTTGTTCGAAATGATAAACTCAAACGTTACAAACGAGTCAATTGAAAGTTCGAATACCTAAGAGCGGTACAGCCTCGCTGGTTTTCGTAATAACATTGCCGACCAGCAGGGAGAAAACTGTTTGCGACAGTAGTATAGTGACACCTGCAAAATATTTGGTCAAATTTGGTCAGATCTCGTGTGCAAGTGGATCGAGTGCAGCAAGTCTCGTGGATCGGCGAGGGTTTTCAGTCCTGGAGTTCCGTCCCAGTGTCATTGGTTTCTGGTTGGGTTTAGAAGATTCGGGATTCAGGATTGAGGATGGAAAACGGAGGCGAGCACTTGATCAAATTCGATCGGTTCTCGCCTTTTCACAGAGCTTTTCGGGGGTTTAAGACTAAATGATATTTTTTGGCTGAACCTTCTCGCAGAGAACACAACACACAAGTTAGCACACAAGAATACCCGGTCTTCAAGCATATAAATATTTGATTTATTCGTTATTTGTTGGTGGGGATGGTTGGTGCATTCCAAGTGGACAGTGGTTATCAGTTATCTGTAAGCAAACGAATCCGCGACCCATTTCAACAAACGAACACAATAAGCGGATCTCAGCGAAATGATATTTTTGCAATACCAGATGTGCAATCTAGCGATCAGTATATATGTACAAAAAAGGATTATTCAAGTTATGAGATTATTAGATTTCGTTCGCTGTTTGAGTTCTCAAAAGGTTCTCAAGCAAAAAATATCATTCCGAGAAATGGGTCAAACAGTATATCGAAGGTGAGGTCGCATAGGTTTGGATTGGAGATACATATGTTATCGGGGGATTTGCGTGGGTTTGGGTGGCACAGACAATAGCTAAGATAGTTGAAGTAGCGTGTGTGGGTGGGTTCTTGTGGGTGGTTCGTGGGTGGTTGGTGGTTGGGTGGTTGGGTGGTTGGGTGGTCGTGGTCATGACTGAGAGTTTCCTGTGTGACGGGTGAGCGAGCGATAACGATAACGATAACGAGAACGAGCTTCAAGATGGTGACAGTAATCATGGACAAACCGAGGGTGAAAATATATCTTCTTATTGTGACTGTGATGGTGGAGCAATGCAAAACTCGATTATCTATTCATGAGCGAGTGAGTTGGGTGGCGTGATAGTGAGAGTGATAGTGACAGTGAGAGTGAGAGAACCAAATCAAACACAAATCAAAGCTGTTAGCAAAAAAGTCAAATCATACAATACAAGACATAAAACTTCTTTCTTTCTTTTTTTTTTTTTTTGTAATAGATGTCTTTCTATTTATTTCTTGTGTCTTCAACGACGACATCATTAAGCATAGTATTTCGTTACTTTTCACAAGTATTATCCCAAACTCACTTGCATTGAAATCTGTCTCATAAGTATCTTTTGTAATTACATATGGGTTGAAATTGAGGGAGTGACGGTTTGAACGAAGCGAAAAGAGTACAAGCAAGGTGTACTGCAATACATAACAGTTATATTATATAGTTCGGATATATATTGAATACATAATCGTTTATTTAGTTTTGCACAAGTGGAATATTTGTAGAAGGAACTTGCCAAAACGACGCTTCGATGAAATAGATAAATTATTAAATTCAAATTTTTGAGTGTATGCATATTGGATTGGAATGAACGGATAGTTTGTGTATCTATTACATCATCAACGCATCGTCGCTTTAGTTCAGGGAATTGAGTATATATATTGAAGAGAATTTGATCGATCATTTGTGCGGCATCTTCGAATTTCGATTGGACGAACTTCAATGAGGCATTGAGGAAGAAATTGAAGAGAAAGCGGAAACGGAAGTGAAGGAAGTATAGTTCGGAAGTACATATAGATAACGATAGCATTTAAAAGATTGCCCTAACCTGTGTTCATTACTGGCTACCTGGGGACTTGTTGTTAATCTAAGCTGACTTGAATAAGAAGCAAACCAAAAAGATTGGCGATTGTTCAAATGAATATAGTAGGATATAGGCAGAGTGATAGAGACAGAGAGAGAGAGAGACGTAGAGGCAACAGAAGATAGTATGATCAACTAAGAAACTGCTTCGATATATATTGTATTTGATATTTTAACTTCAAGTTCAGAACGGAACGATTCAGAAGATATGGTGGGACAGAGAGTACGAGTTGGAATTAGAATTAGAATTGATTTGGTTTAGTTTGGTTTGGTTTAGTTAAGTTAAGTTGAGTTAAGTTAGTAAGTACTTAGCAAAGTTGCTGTAATTAGTAAACATAGTACGACGTACACAAATAACATTTAACAACTTTGTCACTTTAGAGTTGGATACTGTTTGACTTGGTTGGTTGGTTAGACTAATACTTTATTTAAGTTTAAGTTCGGTTTGGTTTCTTTTTGGCTTTGGTTTGTTTGGGGATTATATATGCGAACAATTTAGCAATGTGTGTGAGTAATATAATCGTAATAGATATGTATATATATAGGTAACAACAATAACAATAATATTCATGAATATATATATGTAGTTACATATATATGTATATATACGGCTATATATACACATATATTTAGGCGTGTACGTGTAAATCATATTAAGTACTTTGTTAATTATTCTTTGGTTTTTGTTTTGACAAATTTGAATATATATTTGCATTTGGTAAGTATGTTTTAAATGCAATCGCTACCTAACAAGGGGATTGCATCAGATACTTGGGGCAATGTCTCAGCTACAAGGTTGAGAAACACTGTGAGCGATAGAAGAATTGTAACTCCTGAAACAAAAGAATTTCGTTTTTGTTTTGAAAAATACAATAACAACCACACAAAAACAAATGACACAATCAAAATGGAAATCAAAAAGCGTACGTTTATGTATGTTCCAGTGTATCTGTATCTGTGTTTCGTGTATTCGTAGGCATATCGAGGACTTTGGATAGTTACACATGTACACATGTATGTATGTAGGCTCAGTAGTGGGGCAGTGTCTGTGGGTTCCGAGTCTTTGTATCTGTTCGAGGTTTGGGTTTTCGCAGCGCCTTTCGGGCCGAACAACTTGGAGATTGATTTCTTGGATCTTGGCTATTTAGAATTAGCATTTATTGGTTTCATTGATCTTGATCTCTGAATGGAGTGTGCTTGAGTGTGGATGAGTATATGCCTGAGTATGCTGCGAACTCAAAATTGGAAAGGGGCCAGGGGTCCAACAGAAACCGGGACCTGAAGTGGGTGGGGAAGTGGCTTTATAAATGTACATATATATAATAAGCTGGGGGAGCTCTTTCAAAGTTGACCCCGATGAGATGGTGTTGGCTTAAATCTCTGAAGTAATTTCCTCTTCTACGTCAGATACAACTGACAGAATGGGCACAGAATGTGCACAACATCTCGAAGTATTAATTTTTTGAAAAACTCAACTTTTCAAGAGCTTAGTGGTTTTAGGGGGCGGGGATGGTAACATCCTTTCAACTTTGACCCATTAGTACAGCAAAGGAGGGACTGCAAAAACTTTGAAAGTAGCGCAAGTTTTTCTTGGCCTGCGAATATTTGTAAATTGAACTCCAAGTCGACTCAAGGTGGCAAGATGGCAAGATGGCGAGATGGGACCCCCTTTACACTTGCGCTACGTGTTGCCAATTTGCCACGCCCACATGCGCGCCCCATTTAATTTGCTACGTGCCGCGGCGAAGGAGACGGCACGAGTGTGGAAGCGAGAGCGAAGACCATTATGAAGGGGCTAAATTCGCACATCGCATGCAAATCATTTTCCCAATGCCCCACGGCCGCTGCTCTTTGGTGGTTGGGGAGGATGGATTCGGATTCGGTTTTGGAGCGGTTTAATATATTGATACATGACATAATATGAACGCATGATGGGCTCGACATCATGAACGATACGATATTATGTGGAGTTGCAACTCTACCATCTGATCAAATGGATCTGCATAAATGCAAGTTCAAATGTTGCTTCGATTTTGGTTTCGTTTAGGGTTTATCGTTTATCTGGAGATTCGTTTAGCGCTACGGTTCTATGTGGTTCGAGGGTTCGGTTTAGATGCCAGGAGTTTACGGGTTGCAAATGACTGGTGTTTGCTTTTTAAAATATAGATACATATCCAGGTTGTTGAGCAAGAAGACTAGATTAGTTTGGTGTTGTTAGTGGCTGGGTGGTTGGTTGGCTGGTAGTTGGTTGTTGGTGTGAGAATTCGATTTGTTTCTTGCGAATAAGTGGGTGCAAGCTCAAATAGTTCTTGCCGGAACAAGATGGAGAGATATAGTAGCTATATGGTTATTGGCAAACTGATATATATACTGAAGGAGCGAGAGCGAAATAGGGTTAAGACAGAGTGTTAAGAAGGTGTAAAGCTTCGGATTGCTTTCGGTTCTAGCCTCATTTGGGTTATATTTTTTTGAAGTAGCATGCTGCTGCGTTCGACAAAAGTTCTGGTTGTTCTTTTAGTGGTTGTTTGTGGTTCGGTGGTGTTTTGTATTTTTGTGGTTCGGTGTACTTACGTCTGTTCATCGTGTTGTCTATTTACAGTGTTCGTTTTTTTGTGGGTGATCGGTGTCGAAATATATATATATATGGGTATATAGTCATATGGTTAACATAGATGCTTAGTTTCGTGGGCAGTCCTGCACTGCCCCTAAGGCGTATTTGTACAGCTCTAGGGATACAAACTGATTGGTAAATCTATACCTACCGCGATGCCTCTACTGTAACGGCTTTGATTCGTGTGCTCAGTGATTCGGGTTCTCTGGCCTATCTAGCTATTCCTCTCTACCAAGCCAAGTATCAAAATTTCGCTTCAACCGACATACAAACCTCTACGATATCTGTTCTAAACTCTAACTTGTACACGGTTAACGCATTACGGAATCAGGGTAACATGTCTACGTGGCAGCTTTCAGAGTTCTCTGGTGGTGAGTATTGCAATTGAATTTGAATTTGGGGGCAGAAGGCCGTTTGGGTTGCCGAGAACTGACAGCAGCAACAGTGCCGGACATAAGTGTAAGTGCAGCTACGTCTCTGCCCCCAACTGCGGCTGCCTGCCCTCGAGCCCAATCACACTGCAATCCTTCCACCACTTTCACTCTTGTTTCATTTATGGTTGGATGGTGTTTTTGTCTGGCCGGACCAAGGAAAATATTAAACAAAAAATGGGAAACTGGTTAACTCGGCTGTTGGGCTTTTTTGTAAGTTGGTTAGTTGGTTTTCGTTTCTGGTTTGCTGTTTGCTGCTTGCTGTTTCCTTTTGGCTTTGGTTTTCCTTCAGCTATTTGTATTTATACATTTTTTTCAATCTCTTTTGGTAGCGAAAAAAGGTGGTTCGTTGGATTTTTTAGAGTTTCTCGTTTTAGATATTTGTGTATATATACAGTTGTGGCTAGATTTAAAATACATTTTCTTTAATTGCATTTCTGTCTACGTTTTTGATGCGGTTTTAAAATGCTGCTATGCTTTCAGGTAAGGATGATTTGGGGCGGGAAAGTGTGGGAGGAGTACTCGTCCCAGCGTGATGATGAGGCGAGGTCACACTAAAGACAAGCTTATTTACAGGATGATCGGGGATTACTCGTTGTAACATTGGGTAGGGGGTGGCAGGCTAAGAACTGAAGAGGCCAACGAAACGATACGATCGAAACAAAGGGATCAGCTAAAGGCACACGTAGATAAGCAAACGAATCCAACAAACAATCGAACAAACAAAGCAACAACAAAACGACAATAATAACTGAGGAACCGATTATATAGGACGGTTTTCGTTCCTTATTTTTTGGGCAAACACAGCAAAATCGAACCGAAAATCGAACTCTCTTAATTGTATTTGTACTTGTAGCTGGGCTGTAGTTGTGGCAGTAGTTGTGATTGTGGCTTTGATTGGAGTGGTGATGGGTGTTTGTCATGTGTTCGTATACCAATTATGTCAGAGCTACCGGAGGGTGACCCCAACCAGACGGGGATTGAGTAGTTATCAAAAAGTATATAGCAAAAGACTTTACAAGACCATGAGCTAAGGTTAGTAGGAGAAGCGAGAGAAAGCTTATGAAAGACGGAAAGAAAGTGTTCCTCGGGCTCGACTTGAGTACCTTACTGGGCACATGATACTTGGTAACTGGAAAGGTTCTGAGTACTGTGGTGGTGGTTCTGGTTCAGTGTTGGCAGTGGTTTCAGTGGTGTTCGGGGCTAACATATATAGTTCGTGTGGCTAGTCTATCCGACATCCAGTGGCTCGGTGGTGGCACTCGAGGTGAGAGTCCAGAGATTACAGAAAGATTAGGACAGATCTATGGCAAACATACGGAGAGTTAGGAGTTATTGATCATTCCTCATTCGTGTGGAGGTGTTCCGGATATCCGGAGTGTGGGTTTCCGGGTTTCCGGCTTTCGGGTGTGTGGGTGTGAGGCAGAAAACAGTTACAGTTACAGAAGTGTAGAAAACTAAGTTAATTGGTATTGGTATTTCGTATTCGTTTCTGATCGGTATCTTTTGTTAGTATTCGTGAGAGGTTTTTGGTTTTTGGTTTTTGGTTTTAGTTTAGTTTTAGTTTCATTTCGTTTCTCAGTTCATTGCACTACTGTAGCAAAACTAATGATTAACTAAAAACAGCATTAGCACAGCACGACTTTCTGCTCGCCACTGGTGGTAGTGGACGATAGCCCGACCGATCGGTCCGTACTTTAAGCTATAGCGTTTTAATATCGTGTGTGTGTACCTATAAGAGGAACAGCATCCGACGTTGTCGGCATGGACTCGGCGACAAGGTTTAGAAATACTGTTAATGATAGTAGTATAGTTACGCCTGCAACAAGAGATACAATAAATATAAAACGCAATTTAAATCAAAGTCGAACGCAAAACACATCGGAAAACTGAAAGATCAAGTTTACGGAATAAGTTTTATCATTAGTAAGTATTTATCAAAAAATGAGAAGTACTGTTATACATTTTACTCATCGGCTTTAGGTATTAATTTAACTCCTTTATCGGGATGGGTTGTTCATGGAGTTTATAAGGGGGTATTTATTTAATCTTTGCACGGAACAGCGGGGACTTTTATTTTCATTTTAAAAGCACAAGAAAAGTGTTTCCTTTTCATATATTTTCTAGTATATGTACCATGAATATTGGCTGTGGATTTTGATTTTATAAACTTTCAAAAAGGAAACACTTGGTTGATTTTTAAGAGTAATTTTACTTTAGTTAAAAACTGAACAGAGAACATGCATAGACTGACTATCGTTAGAAGCAGCGTGGAATACGTAGATTTTAAGGGGTTTAGGGGTTTATCTTTATTTGATAATTAAATCCAGCTTAGCCTCATTTCGCTACCCTTGCTGCTTGACCTCAAGAAAACTCGATAACCTGCCGGATAGCCTAACTCTGTAACTAACTGATACATCTATGCATTTGGGGATTTCGGAATAGGGTAATCACCGCTGAAAAACTCACAAAATTCATTTAGAAAGTTGAATATTACAGTTCAGATCGGTTGGTACATATGTTCTGAGGTGGTTCTGTGTTTGGACTAACGCGACTCGATTGGCATACTCACCCAGCGTCAGTTTCTCGCCCGAATCCGGCGGCAATGTGAAGCCCAGGAGGGCCATCGATGAGATTAGCACACATGGCACGATTAAATTGAAAAAATAATATAATGTACGGCGACGTATTTGTATAGTAAAGGTGATATCGACATATGGTTCTGGGCAGCAGGCGTAGACTATCGTATTCTTCTTTCCCGGCATGGCTGAACGATAAAATTGGATTAGTGAGCTTCAAGCAAGGATATCGTGGATCGAGACAAAGGCACAAACATGGATACACATACAGACACAAGGACACAGGTATGTACAACAGATTTTTACAGATTAGACTTCCGATCGAGATCGCAAAGATATGTACATACACTAAATCGTAAAACTAGTTCGAAGAAATCAGAAGCTAAGCAAATCATAATGGTCTATGAAGCAATTTTGGTTGGCAAGCAATGTGTGAAATAATAAGCAATGCGGTTTCCTTTGCAATTGCGGTTATGCTGATAAGACATTTACAAATGACAACGATCAAACGAAATAACAGTTAGAGAAATAAGCGTAATGAGGTTTGTTTACTAACCAAGCAAGTACCACTCGCCATTTGTTATGAAATCGGAAAGATCCCCTCCATCTTCGGAATTCAAAACCAAATCCAACTGAATTTCAAACAATATTTTGTATTGTTTTTTCATGGGTATTCACAGGGAATGGAAATCAATTTGCAATAAGCAAATTAATTTTTACATTTTTTTTTTTTATTTTTTTTTGTGGAGGTTGGTCATTGAGTTTGAGTTTTGTTTTTTTTTATTGGAGAAAGAGAACATTTAAGAGTTTAGTTTGTTGTTGAATTTTGTTAAGAGTTTTTACAATAAGCCACATTGAAACAACATTTATGTACAGATATAGCATGTGTTCGAGGTGTACGAAAGAGAGAGAGAGATAGAGAGCGAGCAAAATATAGACTTTTTTATTCTTTTCATTTGTGATTTGAGATTGGTTTGTAAATTCTTGTGTGTGCAAAATACGTGGTAAATAAAGCGCTGTAAATCAAAGATGTTCTCAAAACATCCATTACTTTCGGTATAAATATACATTTTGCTTTCTTTGTTGACTTTCATTAAGAGTCTTTACGTCGTCCAAACATTCGCCTGACGCTGATTAATTTGGGCGTGGTTTTTTGCCTGCTACCATGCAAAATAGTTGAAACTTCAGAAGTTCTCTGCGTTGAAAGAAACTACCGTTTCCACACATGATTCCGTTTTGGAAGACTTTTTATAAGGAGTCAACCGTGTCTTTCCAACACTGTATAAAGCTGACCAGTGCTGAAAGCGGTTGCTTTTTAAGCTAAGCTTAGGCGCGTGGGCATAAAATATTCAATCATCTGAGTTGAATATTTCAGCCGACACGCAGGACCTATTACAGTTCAGTGTTGTTAACAACACTACGATCTTTTGGTTTTGTAATTCGCAAAAACGCAAAGAATTGTTCGACATGAGATAAACTAGAAGGTAGTTTGGGTGGATAGAGATAGATAGACGGTGAGAAAAAGAGATAGAAGTTTGGAAAAGCATATAAACGAAATTACAAATCCGTCCTAACCCTACATATTATTCATCCTACGCTCTTTATAAATTCTTATTGCTTTGGCTACAGTCAACTCTCGGCATGTTGGACTATCCTCGCGCTTCCTCGTGCGTGAGTCTCGTGATTGGCAAAAGCGTGATCGTGCTCGAGTTGGAATGTGTTGAAGTTCGGGTGTTTGTGTGTTCGTGTGGATAATGTGATGTGTTGCCTAGTGTAGCCAGCGTTCACTGTACTATTGGAACTAGCTGCTGTTGGTTACTGTTTGCTATTTTGTTTTGCTGTGTATTTTGTCGTTTGCCACTTTACCTGATTTCCATCGTAAGTCCAACTACCGAATTTCATTTCGCAATGTTGGTCATCAAATGGGAACCACGTGATGTCTATCTTGCATGTGCTCTTGAAGATACCAGGGGGCACGTACAGACAACTGCCGTTATGTTTGACCACAATGTTGGTGTGATACGTGCCATCGAATCCCTCATCCGCGCTAGATTATTGTACAATTTGTTTTAATGGATTATTGTCTCGATCGATTGCTTTGTTATTCGCTTATCAACTTAATAATCAGTTCGATTCATCGGTTATCCCTTTGTATTGTTATTATTTAGTGACTTTTGATCGTTTTTGTTTGGTTATATGTGACTTGCGCTTTAGTTTGTCATTCTCTTCTTTCATAGCTACTAAAAATGTTTTTTGTTTTTTGTTTTTTTGTGGACTATGCTCTAGATAACTAGAGCTGGGAGTTTTCGGGGGATATATGTATACATCTATTCTGGGAATTCGTGGGAATTTTTGTGTGTGGGCTGTTGTTTTGGTTGTGTGTTGGTCTTAAAGTCTATGTGTTCTCAAAACTCTACTGGGGGCAGACTTACATATGTTACTTAAGGCTAATAGGGTTTACTTTGGTCTGTTGCATGGGGTGTTTACTGTAATGGATCACAAACAGCGCTAGACGACCCAACGGAATTTCTATTGCCACATAACACTCGAAGCAGGACCGGGAAATGGCAAAGGGAATCTGCGGCTGGCCGGATACAAATATCTTTCTAGCTACGTATGTATCTTTGTATCTCTGTGGCCACTATCCAGAATCCCGTCAGTAGCAATATGCGCATATGCAAATGAACCTCAGTAGATACTCGAAAAATGTGGGCAAAGCATGCTATAGATATACGAGTAAACCCATCAGTGAATATATACTATACTCGTATATGTATATATTTGCGTGCATTATGTATGAGTATCTCTTGACTTTGCCGCTGCCCTCGAAAGCTGCAATAAAATGCAATTACTGCTCTGATTTCGACTGGAGTGCCGAGAATGTTGCGTAAACATTTTGGGGACAATTTTGTTTTGCATTTTTCGGTCACCGCAAAGAGGCAATGACATGGGACTCATGATGCCCAAAGGGGCGATGGGTTGTACGTATGATGTGGGTGGGTGGTTACATTGAGGGCGTGTTGGGGCGTGTTTCCTGTGGTAATACGGCTTACATGCAATTGCTGTAGCATTTAAGGGGTATTTGTGCGCTGATTAGCGGCTGGTCAAGCTGAAAACCGAAGCCCAGATGTGGTCCACTTGGGCTTAAGAGCTTGCGGCTTGGATGGCGCTTCACCCGTACCGAGAATGTGTATCTGTGTATCTGTAAGTCACACTTAATTGATATGACAGCCAGGTGGGAGCCTTTCGACCAGGCGAACTTGTTAAAGGCGAAGGTGCTGCAACATATTTCAATTTTCACACCTAATTGGCACGTCAATCCTTTTTGGGGCATCGCAACCTTCATCACTTGGTCCGCATTTAAAATCATTTTAATTTCAAAAGTGAAAAATTCGCTCTCTCTCGTTTTCTGGGCTTTATTAATATTGACGTGGCTTCCGACTTGGATTCGGTTTTTCGGCCACGGATCAGTGTCAGTTTTCAGGTTTTAGTTTTCAGTTTTTCTTTTTGGGCTGCGGCTTACTTCCGACTTGTTAGGCTTTGAAAAATATACAGATAATGTTGCAATTAGAGTGAAAGCTTTTGGCATTGGCGGTTAAAGGTACGGCATCTCAATTAATCAGCCGTGAAAGGAATCGCAATTCGCGCCCGAAATCAGCATAAGTAAAAAGAAGGAGATGTAGTCGATTGATTTGCTTAATAATGAGGCAGAACCAATCCGCTCGCCAGCCTGCAAACTTTTTGTGTATCCGCATCCGTGTCTGTGAATGCCTTCCTATTGATCTAAATGATGGCCGCACATTAGCAGCGCTGGCGACGCATACAAATTAGGTCCAAATGTGAGTCGTGTTTGGGGGACTGGGGGGAAGAATTAATAAATTAAACGAAGTGAAGGTCTGTCGGAGCCATGTTGGCAGAAATCCTTTGCAAGCTGCCTGGAAAGTGGGGGAAAATGGGGGGCGAGTGCTTCTATCGCTTGTCGGAACACGAATCCTGGACGAAGTCCTGGCAAGTTCATTAGCAAACAAAGTTGACAGCCGCTCCACGGCCGCTCGGCTCCATCTACTGATTTCCCCTGACTATCCCAGCAGCCAGCTAATCAATATGATTTTTATTTCCAGCCTTGTCCTTTGTCTTGGCCTCTGGTCCTGCCAACGATTCGTTGCCCTTTTTTCCGGCGAAATCAACGCCGGATGCTGCGTGCCATGGAAATTAAACCTGCTGCTGGGCGTACGTGTTCTGATTCATTGTTTCCCTCCGTCGGGATCTTTTTTGTTTCCCCGGCTCTCGGGTGACATGTAAATTCCATTTCGCAATCCGGGAATAACACGCCCCGTGCGTCAATCAAGCGTAAACCGTGTGTGTGACCACCGGACCCAACTGCTCCGCCATTAGGTTAAGTAAGCTTCGTGTTGCAGTGGCAAATATAAATTGCAATTAGTTCTGCAAATGCGACGAGCTGACACTCCGCCAGGTGCATTTATAACCGGCCCACAGTCTCCGCAGCAGTTTGTCTTCATTTGAGCCAGGTTTTGTAGCCGGACTAAATGCGTGTATGGGTCTGCTTTTTGCGGCTTTCAGTTTTGGTGCTTTGGGGCATTTAAGTTGTTTTTAGTCACGGGCATGTGGCAACAAATTTTGACGTTTAAGTTATGGCTTAAAATGTTTAAGCTCCCCCGGGTGGACACGGATTTGTGTGGTGTTTTTTTTTTCGCCTTGTGCACCAAAAACGTATTCACTGAAATCGCAGCTAGGAAAACCTGGCCAAAAAATGGAAATGGATATATCATAATGAAGTTTTTGCTCACAACCACGGGCAACTGGTGCAGTGGAGATGGAAACCGTTTTTTGCCTCGGCCTGAATGCATTTCGTGTGTGGGATATCTGGCAGATAATTCCGTGGGTAAGGAAAAACGCTGAATGCGATATAAATCTAGAGAAATAGAGTTATTCCTTCGCATCCATTTGTCCCAGCACAAAGTGGCACCTTAATCATCATCTGCAGCCACATCTGCTACTTCATTAGGTGCCCCTGCAGTTGTGGTCCATCTGAGGTTTCTGGCGGGGATCGGGTGCATGCAGGCGGCTTGGGGCTTACACTGGTACTTAGGCTAACTTACGCAGACTTAATGGGTATGCCGTATGATTCCTCGACGCCTGTCTGTTAACACATCGATGCACACGCACACACACAGACGGCAAAAGATATATATATATATTTGGTTATAAATATGGGCATATAGGTGGGTAGTTAGACGATTAAACACAGACATAGAGTTATGGATTAGCATACAGCAATAGCTGGGTTGGGTATATAGAGATGATTATAATTGGACACCGAACAAGAATCGAGAAACATGAGCTTATTATCATTTATTGTTGTTTAGGAACATACAGAAGTGAACAAATAGCTAAGATGAACGATATATAGCACACCGATAACAATTGATTACTTTATTGATTGCAGTACACACACACACACACACTCGCACACCGCCGCAGCAGAGCACACACCCACACCCACACCCACACACTCGCTGAAGCGGACATTTTAAAAGCCAACCGAATGGGAAATGGGAAATGGAAAATGGAAAATTGCGATATGAGATATGAGAAATGAAAGGGCAATTATTCAAGGCACTTCAATGAGTGATGCGGGCAAATAACACTCGTTAGGAGACCAAAAACATTTGTAATTTGAACTCCCTTCGCAATTGTTGCTGAATGTTTTTGCATCGGCGTATGGGGCGTATGATGAATGCATGACTGTAAACATAGTAATCGGAAAAGTGGAAATCCACCGATGTTATGCTGAAGTAGGCACACACACACTCACACTTCTAGACTAACTAATTGGACATATAGACTAACATTTAGTGAAAGCGATTGAAAATTAATTTGTTAGATTGGCTTTCTTTTAGGTATTTGTTTTAGGATTATACAATACACAGATGCACCTTCCAAAATATTTGACTTCTTAAAAAAGTGTAGAAACAACGGTGAATTTAGTTAAGCTTCTTAAATCAGACAATTCATTTTTACAGACTGAGGGGCAAAACAGTCTGAAGTTCTATCAACGAAAAGCTGATATAAAAATATAATTATTTTAGGAATTAATTGGTTTCAGATGTCCAATACAGTTTATTATACTGGAAGGTGCACCGGCATCTCGGTAACCCGAGAGCTTTTAGTTTATAGTAATGGTTTCTTGATAGGTAATGTTTTTGGTTAGTTTGAAATGCTGAGATGACACGATCGATTATATAAAGTGGTGGAGAATATCTGTTGGTGCTTGGGTTTAATATTAACTTGATGGGTTTGCTTAGCTAGCCTAGCTAAGTTTTCGAGTTAGGAGCATGTAATTAGCTTATATGTATATTAAATGGGATGGACTCTCTATTTAGATACTTTTAACATTTAATTTAATTGTGTTTCTTGTGAAGTCTTTTGTGTGTGTGTATGGAATTAGGATGGTGGGTTGGTAGGTGGTGGTGTTGGGTGGTGACAGCCGGTGTCCAGACAAAGTTTTGGCACCTGGCTGGAACGCAGCTGCTTTAGTTGTGGGATGAGGTGGGGATTTAGGTTAAATATATTTTTTGCATTTGGTTTTATTTTTATGCGGCTTTATTTAGTCTTTTGTTTAGTAAGAGGGATTTGATTTCTCATGCACAATACTTGAAAATCTATTTTGCCTTTTTTGTGATGGTCTGGATGGTTTCTTGTTTTGTTTTTTGCAAGCTACGTATGAGTATGACAAAAAACATTTTTCCATTTTCGGTTTTAATTATTGCTTTACAGTATTTGTTGTCGGCCAAATAAATTCAAGTACTGAACGTCTAACCAGAAATATTACACCAGCATATTGTTGAACAATCTCTGAGGTGGTTATTGTCTTTCGGAAATGGAGCGAGAGGACTTTGACTACAGCTCGAGTTATGGTGGAGTCTACGCAAGGATGTGAATCCTTGACTGGAAAGCAGACCACAGACCGCTGTCCTCGATTCCTCGAGGAATTTGACCCGGGCTGTTTCGAACAAAATACTTGCGCAATATTCTGGTTAAACAAAGTTAAAGTTAGAGTTGGAATTAAGATTTAGTTGTTGGAATTTAGTCTGGGAGATTATTTAGCTTGTTTTGCGGTTACTTCGCATTTGGTTTAGTTCGCTTTTATGGCTTGATGTTTGGTTTAGTTAATGCTGGATAATTCAGGCATTTCATGTGTTATACAACGTTCGGTTAGCATTACGAATCCAATTACAATGTGAGGCCCACATCAACGGCAAGCTGACAATGTACAGTCCCACTAGACAACCACTGCGTGTAAACTACTCTTATTGAAGTAAACAAATGGAAATTATTCTGGTTTTCTTTTGTTTTTGTTTTTTTTTTCTTTGTTTTTTTTTCCTTATTTTGTAGTTAAGTCACTTTTCGAAACGTAAACATTGAAAGCAAATCATAAGTGGGTAACATCGAAACACAAATATCATAATTATACGGGTGGGAAAAGTCGATTTAGCCACCGAATCAAAAACACAATTTCATGTTTGATTTGCGGCTTTTTCGATTTTCGTATTTGTTTTTTTTACACTGTTCTATTACTGTTTACATATAGACACACAAACAATAGCGAGTGGGTTATAATGCGATAATAATAATAGTTATATAATCATGAACATGGACATGGGGTCATACATAACTAAAGGTATGCAAACATATTAAATATGCTGGGGATTATTGTTTTCAACTCGAAAACCAACTCAAATCGAGCCATACAAACAATATCATAAACTGAGAGGCAACAAAAACTTAGCTGGGTTTGTTGAAAGCACAGTTCTCAGATGGAGTTTGTACTCGTATCTCTATCTGGAAACCTATTCAACAGATCCGCCAAGTTACCGAAACGCTAATGGTAAGCTAGTAATCTATTTAAATCCAACTAAAGTGCAACTACTAATACGTATATACTAGGTTTAACTATGGCTATAACTGAACGCAAAACGAAACGATAACATAATGTCTTTGGAGACTTCATCTCCGGTGGTTGTGGTTTTTACTTTGGCCAGCCTAACTTACCATGGTTTGAGTATTACAGTGATTGGATTATAAATATGGGGCTATACGATCCTATGCCTAGACTTAAGATAGCTGATAGCTCTATGTAGCTGGTTATGTATTGCGCAAACACTTTATACTGATTCTCAGATTAGTTTCATTGGTTCATCGTGGGCTGCGATAGCCTTTCTATTCGGTTACGGGTACATCGAGTCCGGCCGGAGTGGACACAGATCACTTACCTGTTGTACATGAGCACGTCGGGCTTCCACAGCTTGTTGGGCGTGATTCGGAGATCCTTGACCCCACCGTACTCCGTTTCATTCCAGCGCAGATTGTAGTCGTTCCACTCCTGCGTTGACAGGTTTTATTAGTTTTAATATAGATTGCTCGGCACTCAAGTGGTTTCAATATACACATATGTATGTATTGCTATCAAATAAAACGACTAAAAATTCAAACAATAATGCGACGTGATGTTTGGAAAAGAAAACGGATATCGGATATCTCTGGCTATGTTTATTTGGGCGGTACAGAATGAAAAGTAAGTTGGAGGCAAAGCAAGGACTCCGAAATGAAATCTACTCAACTGCTGAGCACATGCACATACACACATGCAGCAACTCTACCACTTACGCACTAGCACTAGGCTAAGACTAAAAGATGGTCGACTCTGTTAACTGATTGGCAAGCTGTTGCTCGAAAGCATGCCAACGCACACGCACACGCACACACACGCAAGCGCTCGCTCACACACAGGGGCACATAGTTGCTGCAGCAATGGCTGCACCATACAACAATGTGCAACTTGACAACAATTTCTGGCTAAGTCAACCCCCCTGCACTGCCACTGCCACTGCCACCCGTCGACGGAACCGCACATGAGACAAGTTTTATCAACGTTCCTCGTTTGCTCTTTTCTGATCCTGTTCAGTGATGCACAGCGATAAAAAGTGGCAAGAATGGTTACAAATAAGAAACCCATTTATTAAGACTTTCGCTTAGCTCTGCAACAAATTTGTCAAACCAATATTTTAAAATTTGTAAATCCACACTAAAAACTTTATTTATTTATGAGAAACTTGTTTCTTATACTTATACTTTTTTCTGGTGTATTCAAACAGTTGTTCAGTGCTTTGTGTCACTCTGCGGTTGCCTGCAACGCGATGCTGTGCCGCGTCCTGCGATTCTTTATCCCCTTGCCACCGCTCGTTGCGTTTTGTGGCTTTCCTACAAGTGGTTCATGTTCGTGTCATAAAAGCGGCAAAGTTTCCCCTCTACTAAGTTTCGCCTTTGCCGTGGCTTCATGTTGCCTCTATTGCTGTTGTTGCCGCTGTTATGTTTATAATTTAACACATTTGTGGCATTTTTAGAGCAAGCAATTGTCCTCGACGACCCCTCGGACCCCACGGACCACCTTCTCTGTGGTGCGGTTAAAAGCAGCACAGCACACAGTACCCTTTTTAAATCACAAAAATTTAATTAAATGCCATGACTCCGTGCTGCATTAAATTGTAGCAGTGCCGCCTACGTATTTACTATCTGCATCTGCTTTAAAACTGTTTCAACTTTATTGTGTGCGGTTTTTATGGCAGCTGTAAAAACAGATGCCTCGTTTCCAGGTGGAAAGGATGCTGCTCCGTGCTCCTAAAAACATTTCACCACTTTGTGCGCCGGCGGAAGGACACAGATTTTGATGCGAGTGAGGCAATTATTTTGCAAAATAGTTACAGCGAAACTCGCGTTCAGTGAGGCGTGGCTAAACTCTGGGGTCTAAATCCAATCCTCTTATGGAACATTTCAGTTTGAAATTAACTATTACCATTTGGTTGAGTTACTGGCACCAATATATTTGTACAAAAATTTAAAGTAAAGGAAATCTGTATTTTTAATGAGCTATTGCTTAGATATAATAGATATTCATTAAGTTATAAGCTGTAGTCTTTAGCTGATTGCTTTGGTATTTGAAAATCTTTGCAAGCAAAATATTTGTCCCTAAATTGACATGAAATAATAAGCCATATCCCTATCAAGCAATTGAAGTTTAGAATGCAGTGCCGCTCCTCCCCCAAAAAGTGTTTGATAGTCATCGATTTTGTTGGCCATTTTCTGGTCGCGCTTTGTTCGAGATGGCCTTTGCGTTCATTTGCCGCTTTTAATTGCTATTTGACGGCATAATTGGGCCGTCGAGCAGAACAACAATCGGTTGACTGGCATTATAGACAGCTGGAAGGACTGGCATTTGGAATTCCAGCTGCCTGTCTGCGGTTGTGAGTGGCGAATTGACACACATTCGAACACACCATTCAAATGGCTAGTACCGACAGTTTATAAACGCCTCGATTCGACCATGCATCAATCATAAATACTGAAATATTGCCGATGGCCGATGGCCGATGGCCGATTGCACCAGTCGAGATGCGAGATGCGGCATTTCATGTGTATTTTGTGTTTGATTGCAATTGCGAAATTACTACAATTTCTGGACGCCATGCCGGTGTGTATTCGGTCACTAAAACGACTTCACGTGCTAAATAAATAATTTAATTAATTTCGTAAATTGACAGGACTTGATGGAGCTAACCGGAAATGAAAGGAAAAGTGCGAAAAAATAGCGGAAATACACCGCTCCATTTCCGCAGGCATATATCACCTTTTTTACGTTCACACACGAGATAAGCACTCACACAAAGGTAAATGCAAGGCATGCAGGACGAACAAACACAGATACAGATACAGATAGAACTCATTACAGGATGCGATCTCCTGGCATGCAGATGTGTGTGTGTGTGTGGGGGGGCTTGAGTATTTTTTGTGCCGGGTTAGGTTCTGTTTAGAGTTATGTTTTTCTGGTCGATTCGGTTTATGTGTTTGATTTTTAGTTGCTCTTAGTAGAAAAAAACTGAAGCCAACTCGCATCGAGTTCTAAATAAAAATGTCAAAAAACGATTTATTCGCTGCAGAAAAAAAACTAGTTGCCTTTGTAGATCTCTAGGTAGAAAAGTTATAAATTCAAAGAGAATAAAAGGAAATATCGGAAATCAAGGTATCTTTTTTATATTTAGCTGTGTCTGTGAGTATGTGGGTTTGTATTTAAATAAGCGATTTATTACAGTATTTAAGCTTGGATTTAATGGTACTTATTTAAGTGATGATGTTTAAATAATTTAACGCACACACGAACTAAGCCAACACAATCTCAACGCGAGATAGAGGGAAAAAGAGAGAAAATCGGAAAAATAGTCCTTACATCAAGCGTTTTTTACAACAGAGCTTTGGGGAGCAGGTTTTCAGATATATTTTTCAACGAGGAACAAAAAAAAAAACTCGATTAACTCTTAGAACCGTGTGTGCCTAAATTATAATCAGAACAGACTCTGTCTGGCCCGAATCCAGCATACAGCACTACCAACTAGAAGGATACGCATTCAGCAGATTGATTATGAATAAGTAATAAGTAAAATATATACTTTCTGCTGGACTGAGTCAGAAAGAGTCCTTGATGTTCGATTTATGGTTAAGTAGGTTTAAAGCGAATACACATTATTTAAAATACGATTTAGGCTATAGGTAAGTATTTAAATTTGTGATTTAGGTTTATGATTTATGATGGCGAGTTTTAGTTGAGACTTACCAACGAAAGCCAAAGATTCGTTATGAGAAGCTGATTCTTCTCGTCCTACAAACGCATTTGGAACGAATTTTGGTTGTTTTGTTGTTAACGCCAAAAAACAATAGTGAATCAAATCAAGTTCAACGCAAGAGAAACAACAACAGTAAGTAAGACACAACGAAAGCCAAAAAGTTAATTTAAGTCAAAAGTTTAAAAAGAGCAGAGCATGGTAAAAGAAAGTTTTGGTTTATACATTTGTTTTATGAGTTTTATAAGGAGGTTTGTTCTTCTCTTTGAGCTTTTTTTCTAGGTTTTCTTTTATTTATAGCATCTGTTTTTATGACGTTTATGAATACGATTTTTTGATGTTTTTTTTTAGTTTAATTCGCACTAGCTCTGCACGCGATGAAGTGGGACTTTAATCTGCAGTGGTTTCTGTAAATTTGACTTGGGTCTTAAGTTTTAATAGAAGCACATTCATCCTTCTCTCTGGTGCTGTTGCAATTTACTCGTCCCTATCTCCCATCATCACTCAATTTGCGCCAAAACGTACCGAAAAAGCCAAATGGAATGCTATCAAAAACTTTGTTGGCCCAGAGCAGCTTTGAGCCGCTCGCCTTGAAGCCTAATCTCAATCTCAATCCGAATTCGAATCCGAATCCGAATCTCTGCCCCGTACAAATTTAATCTGCTGGTCGGTCGGCCTTCAGATCCTTTGTTCATTGCGGCAATTTACTTTGAAATCCCGCCCTTCTGGGCGGAATATGTATGTACGAGTACATACCTATACATTTCCATTCTACTGCTCCGCCATTCAGGCAGTGTGGGCTTGCAATAAAAACTTTGAACTAGGTATCAAAACCCATTTATCTTTATACAAAATTTTAATTAAAGATATTTCATGCTGGCACATTGTCTGTCACTCGGCCACCAACTATCCAAACAGTCTAGTCCAATCCAATCCCAGCGGATGAGAATGGCGATGGATTCAAGGCGTCCTTCCCACCGATGCCGTTTGAAATGCAGATGAACAGCTCAACGAATCCGGCAGATCTGCATGTGAAAGCCCCTCTAAGGTGACTGTCATTAATAACTTGCTGGGTTAAACAACAAAAATGGTTACAAACCAACAGCCGCAAAAAACAGAAGTGTAGGAAAAAGCACCCGAAAAAAGGTGGAAAAAACCAAAAAGGATGCGGGTGAGTTTGGTAGCAGCTGCAGTAACGACTTGGGCCATTAAAAAATACAGCAGTTTCGTGATGGAAGGGGGAACTTAATGATATACAGGAGGGGGAGCAGCCGCATCCTTGGACATGAGTTTGCTCTGGTGACCTGGATGATTTCTGAATCGCGAATGGGAGGGGGGGCGGGGGGGTGCTCCCCACCCGGCGGTTGGCGTTTTCGTTTAAGCCAATATGCAGGCACTTCCTCTTCACGTCAAATGCCACAGCAACACCACAGCAGCACGGCAACATTTGAATATGTGAGTATGGATATGCCGTTGACACCTTATAAAAATGGCGGGTTTGTGCAAATTTCATGTTTATGACAACCGGGATGAGAGGGGGCAGGGGCCAGGGGGCAGGGGCGAGAATGTCGGCTGTGAGCCCCTGACATTGACGCATACTAATGACACTTTGGTGGCAAACTTAAAGCCCCATTTGCAGCAGACTCCACATCTGCATTAAGCATTAAGCGTTCGCTTTCCCCAGACACAGATACTCCAGCGCTTACGTGACTGCATAAGCTTATAGATTTATTTTGCATTAACGTGCCAAATTGTTTTTAAATGAGTTTCTAATGAGCCAACAATTGCCGTTGTCCTCTGTAGTAACAACAATCCAGATTTCAGATTTCAGATTTTCAGGCTCTGGGCACGGGCACCCATACGGGCACTCGATTCGGGGATCCCCAGGATTCATACGGGGATCTCCTTGTTGTAGTCGCACTGCCGTGATGAATGAATGGTTTTCGCAAACTTTGCTACTGCTTCACTGTTTGCCTTACACAAATGGGTTATGCACATGAGCCAAAAACGAGAGTAGACTAACACCAAGCGGGGGCTCAAGGACGAAGTTTGTTGGCCTTGGCAGCACTCAAAGTCCTTAAGTGGATGTTTTTCGAGTCGAGACAAATGAGCGGGTGATAAGTGAACAAGGCAGTTTGCACAACGCTGCCAAATGACTCTGTCGAACTCTGGCTGATACTCGCGGGCCGCAATTTGGGCGAAAGTATGTTTTTAATGGATGCCAGGCGTGCTTGCAGAGTATCAATGGATGACGCTAATAGATTCGACACCAGCTTAACTTTGCATCTTTGGCCTTTGGAGCCAAGTCGTTGACTGTGCTCATTATGGCTAGATTACATCAAATATTTTGGAGTTCTAAAGGATTTAGCTCGGTTTTCATACCCCTCTTCAAATAAAGTATAAAATAAACGAAATGCATTGCATTAAGATATGGTCTATAAGCAAATTGCCCTTGTCCTTTGAATTTAATTTCTCTTTCAAAATCCATAGCTAAACAAGCTATTAATTGCATAGGAGCTTGAACTCTATTGTTAAGCTCAAACAATTACCCACCAGCTTGAATGGCTTTTGTTGGTGTCTTAACGAGGCAAACTTTGAAATCCAATCGTTAACTTAATCTTTACTTTTTCCTAGCTATTAACTGAATGTTTCCTTTTCGGATAACAGATACTTTGAAAAAACCAACTCACCACACAGATGGCCAAATAATGTGCATTAGACTTCGATTCCTGGCTTTTGGCTTGAGCCACGCCCAGAACAACAGATTTAACACCACTATAGCTTGTTCGCCTCACACCCCCGAAAATTTGCAGTGTGCTCATCCGGTTTTTTAGAAGTTGGTGAAAGCGCTCGAGTGGGTGGGTGGCCATTGGCCATTTCCTTTCGACACATATTTCCAAAGCCCCAGTCATTTAGGGAGCTTTGTGGTGGCTGCAACCTGGCAAGTCATTAGACGAGAGGTTACATCCACCGAAAGTGGGGCTGGAAAATGCTGTGGTGCTTTGGTGTTAGCCGAAAAATGCTAATGACTTTATTTTTCTCAACTTGGATGCTGATGGTGCCCGGCCCAACCACAATGTGCATTTTAATGTCCTGCCCAGGAGCCTTCGACCTGACCTTTCGTCCGGCTTCTCCAGCTCAGTGGCATTCGGTTGCAACTGGCTGCCATGACGGGCCATCATCATCATCATCAATCGGCAGGACGAACGGAGGATGACATGCTGAAGGAGTAACCTTTGGTTAGCCACGACTACGTGGTGGCCTCAAGAAGCTTGACGGCAATTGCAAAACTTTGGCAATTGTCACTTTTGCCTGTAATCCCCAGCATCAGAGGCCATTTTCGAAGAACATTCATTATGGGTAGCTGCAATTTGAGTAATTGCGCAAACTGTGACCAGGAGCCGCTGAAAATGTCAGGGCTGGCGAATTCATAAATCTCAATTCGGATCGATATATAATTTATGCCACTGAAAATCACAGCGATGCGGTTTCAGTTCCCTTTCATTTGATCCCTTCCCCGGCCATCCATCTGTCCGAATGGCGAGTGCATAAATCAAATTATTTCATACATATTTAATCGTGAAAATTAAAATGCATTTGGTTTGCCAGCGCATAGATGTTCTGGCTTTAATTGTATAATTTATTCGTGAGCTTGTGGGAGAGGGGGAGCGCATGAGAAGGGGGGCGAGCAGATTAAAGTCCTTACTTCATCGATATCTTTTGGTTTTTAGTAGGTTTGGCTGTTTAGGTTGTTAGTTGTGTTGCGCAATATGCAGATACATTTACATATATGCCATTATATATATAATATATATACGTATAGATATAGATACAAAGAATACACCGAGTTGGAATTTGCAGTTTATCTTTCACTTTTTAAATGCACTTCGTTTAAACAACATGCAAGACACGACTTTATTTCTTGTTGCTTGTTTTTGTTTTGTTTTGTTTTGTTTTTGTTTTTGGTTGCGTTTAATTGCAGCTTTTGCCTTTTACTCAGATACGTATAATCAGAGAACGCTTTATGACATGTACCCAGCAAAAATATATGGTAAGTATATGTACGTATTTATGAAACATAATCCGTAAAAAACACACGTACACTAGCTCTCAATCACACACGCACACGCACACACGACTTATGTAAATGCAAGTAAAACATAATTCAAATCAAGTGGTGGGATGGCTAACGGTAATAGGCTTGTAAATCATTTTGTCAATCGATTAATGCACTTAATGGAGCATACTAATTGGGGTCAAAGGTTAGTTCCCAACGCCCACTGGAAGACTGGAAGGGGTTACGCATATCAATGCTACTGCACATTTACTAAGCATTTATGACTGGCCAAGGAGTGTTGCTGACTTGAAACAATTTAGTTGTTGGCTTAAAACTGGCTTGCAAACTGGGCGTTCGCATCAATTAAACTGCATGGATTTGGATTCCTTTGGCGCTCGAATGTGATTACACACTCCCCAGAGAATGCTACTTTAATTGGGGGATTACGGAGGGTTAGCAATGGCAACTGTGGCCATCGGACGGACACATAATTTCCAACTAAGCACATTTATTCACACGGCACGCCGCATGTTTCCGGGGAATAATGCATAACATGTTGCACAAACAGAGAAGAACAGAATGTAGGCAAAAAGAGTACAAAATAATTACGAGTATAACAAAATGGGAAATCTAAAATGTATTAATATGTACGAGCATGTAAATTACACAAACGCAAAACACAACGAAATAAAAGCAGCTAAACACGTGGCTGATCAACAAAAACGGTTTTCATAAAAGGCAATTAATTGAAAATGCCGCGATGCAGCTTAAAGTTTGCGTTCATATTTCACAAATGGAACGACAATTAGTTGGATTCAAAAGTTGTTAGGCAGAAAAAGCTGTGTTTTTTCTAAGGAAATTGAAAATTGACGGGCGATCATAAATCCGCCTCTGGACATATGTATGCACATATACATACGTATATGTGAATGGCTCAAGGGTTGGGTGTGCTATTAATTTTTTTGAAAAGGGTTTCCTGTCTGCAGCTCGTTGGATGGTTTTCGCTTTACGGTTCTGACCAAAACGATTGCAATTCGAGTTTTCAGGTGAGACCGACCGACAAACAATGCGCAGCAAAAAAATGGCTGTCGCTTTACAAATATAAATTTTATTTATGTCCTCTTGGGTCCGTTGTTTTGATTTATTTGTTTATGTTTATGGTGCGCCCGGCAATTTCTGCCAATTTAGCAATGCCATTTCGGCATCCCTTGTCCAGTTGAAGGCCATTCCCCCTCAATCACGTCCATTTCCAGTGAAATTTGCGTAAATCAGAAGTTTTAGATGCCACGGGATTAGCCAAAAGGGCTAATCGCACTTCAAGGAACTGCCACAGCTAATATAAAGTATTCTTTAATGGCTGGAAAATGGGGAGTATCTCCAGAAAGGCCCTGCCAAATCATCTTCAAAGCATGCCCAGTTATTAAAAACTTTTTCTCTTTATAATTGGATTTTATTTGTGCTGTATTTTTAACGTTCGTTTAATTGAAATGTGTTTAAACGGCAAATAAAATGACAAAAAAACGCACAAACGTGAAAATATTCAGGCTTTCACACACACACACACGCGCACTCTGACGCACACACAGACACATGGGGACAACACATATGCATACGCAAATATGTATTTATTTATTGATAAAGAAGCCCTGTGGGGCAATAATTATTGAATGCCAAAAACAAATTCAGAGAAAACGAAATGAAAAAAAAACTTGTGGTTTTGGTGGTGTAACAAGTTATATAAAAGTGTGTCGCTTTTCGCTTGGCAAAACGGAAACCTAAAAAAGCAAAAAACAAAAAACAGATAACGAAAGTCACAATCACAAAAGAATAGTTGTGATATTGTGTTGTCACAAAAACGACGGGTACATGTCACTTACCAAATTTAACCACGCATTTGTGGTCAGAATCTGATTCTTTTCATCCTATAAGAGACGCAATCAATAATTGTTAATTCTTTGCCTGCTCACGTTACATTAGTCCTATGCATCGATTCAATTCAATTCAATCTGTTTTCAACAATTGTTTCGATTCGGATAAAGATCCCACAGCCATGGGAACACTTCGGATTACTCTCAGTTATTCGTGCTTATTTTTGATGCTTTTCGAAATTGTTAGCTGGGCCAAAAGGATTTGGGCATCCCTGGCGACCACTTACCACGTCGATGATCTGCTGCAGCGTCAGTCCAAATTTGACCTCCAGGGGCTCCGATTCGTTGGCCACGGGTCGCTCCAGCGTGTTGTAGGTGGACAGCAGGTGGTTCAGCAGGCGTTTTTCATGAGGTCCTTGGCAGCTTTCTGCAACGAATGGAACCAAATAGGCGAAAAATTAATGAAACGCGTGCGCCAATTAGGTGGGGCATCATATTCGACGCTGATTTATGGCACTTTCTGCCAAATTAAACTAATAACAGGGCTCACTTATTGGCAGTTGGGTTGCCTCATTACCGGGAAAATCATTATAAAAATGGCATGTACTTTGGCAGCGTGATGAGTTTTTGGGCTCCCAATTAATGGGTCGAAATCATTTCGCAACTCTGAATGAAACCAATTTTTGCTCTTCCTGTGGCGGCCAGTGAAATGCATTTAATGTGGCAGTGAAGCCACAGAATTCGTGTAGCTTATGTGTTCATTTTCACAAAGCTCCAAGACTGCTGTATATTTTCAGAATTTTTTACCATTTATCAACGAAAAAAGGTACCGAATGCTTTTGATTTCGTATTGTAAAATCAAAACTTCATTATAGCAACTATAGTAACTGAAATACAGCACGCCAAATCCGCATATTTTGGGCCAAGACCTTGCATTATATTCCCATCCCAGTGCTCCTACAAAGTTGCTTCCCTGGCCTCAGGGAAATGGCTTTGGCTCCCACACAATTTGGCCAGACCACTCCGCAATCCTCTGGTTTCTGAACTGGCCTAGGTGGCAGCCATAAAATGTCATTAAGTGCCACTGTGTAAGAGGTGCTCCACTGCCATGCGGAGAATGTGGGTTGGGAATGAGACGGAAGTAAGTGTCCCAAAACCTGGTACATTGTGCTAGAACAAACCGTAAAATGGGCAGTGGCAAATATTTGAGATGAGCGCCAAAAAGTTTGGCTCAGCTTGCGATGTTTCGCATCCCAGGAGTGCTGGTAAATTGACAACTCAATTGTGAAAACTATTTGCACGCCATTAGAGGCGGAAGGACAGCAACAAGAGGTGTGACCAGTTGGGCCAGGGGACAAATATTGGCAGGCCATCCGCAAAATTTGAGCCCAACAGTGTGTCAACTCATTCATGAATGCATCGGGTCTCCTTCAGAGCGGAGCTGCAGTGGTTTTGGCCCAGGTCCAAGCTGCTCGCATTCATGGTGGCAATCGAATCCATGTCCGAATTTCGCTTAAATTATGCAAGCGGAACAGGAGCAGAATCAGAATCGGAATCAGCATCACAGCCGGGAACGGGCGCTGGAGGATCAGGCCATGAATTTGACATGGCAGGGCAACCACTTGGAATTGACCGCCGACCAATGACGAACTGGCGCACTGACCAAACCCACAGGCTGTCAAGGTGAGCGACTGTGTTTATTACATGAGCATTAATATGCAGGAGCCGAGGCGAAACCAGGTGCAGTGCAGCCAGCGGGGGGCGGGAATGGGACCCATGTAAGCGTTATGGAATGCACGTGTGTGACAATGAAGGACGAGCCCCAAAATGTCCTTTGTTCTGGCGACAAGTGACACTGATAAGCAACTGGGCCGCCTGTCGAGTGAATTTAAGACTAGGGGTTTCCAGGACGAGCAAGTCCTCTGGCTTGGTTTTCCCCCTACAAACGTGGCAATTCTTCACAAATTAATATATATTACGTACTCAAATACAAGTAGCTGTAAGTTAATATTACTAAATATCAGTTAGACTTGGTTCGATCAAAATAAACGACGCCACTTTAAACCTATACTAAACCCACATTATTAACCACATATAAACCTACCTATATTAAAACTACCTATGTAATTACAGAATCACGCAGCTTTGATATATGATGACTTTAAATACATCAAACAATTAAAATGGACCCATCGTTTTGTTACTCCTAATGCCTTATTAAATATCTCATCACATTTTACATCTAATTGTTCAGGAACAAGCTCTGGTGCAAATCAGGCATAATTGAAACCGAGTTTCGACTTAATTGAATGAAGCATGAGCCCGAACAATTCCTTGAAGGACGCCAAAAATTAATATGCCACACAGTGCATACTTCTAGGCGCCATGTGAGTGTGTGCGTGACGGTGTGCTTTTCGCTGTGTGGGTGAGTTACTGCCAACTTATTTGTGCGGTGTGCTGACCCAGTTTCACTAGCTCGCTGCTCTCGGGCCTGATCAATTTGGCCTTGAGCGTCGCTTGCAACTTCTCCATCTGCAGTTGTCCTTGCACTAAGTTGACATTTGATTTCCCCGCCCGCCATTGTTGCCACTGCCACCCCCTTTTCACCGCCGCCTTTGTCTCTGGGGTCGTCGCTTTGCATGATTTAAAACTATTTAATTTGGTCTTCGTCGTGGGCAGCTCCTTTTGTTTGGCGACAATTTCGGTCGTTTCGCATTTGCCACCTTGAATGCAGAGTGCATTTTTTCCCTCTGAATCGCTTTCAGTTGTTTTTAAAAAATTTACGAGCTGCTACTTTAACCTTGGTGCAAATGGGTAGCACTCTGGCAAAGGAGCGGAAGGGCGCAAAATCCATCACACAGAAACTCTTTCTGCCATTGTGTGGGCGGGTTTTGGTAAATTGTTAATTACTATTGTGATGCATTGTGTGCTCCTTGTGCGCTGCGCAACTGCGCCACGGTGGCGTATACGTGATTTCTGTGGGTAATTCGACATCAAGTGCAACAGCAGCGTGCTGAGATTGCTTCCTACTTGTGGACAGAAGGCAGCGACAGTCGGCAGGACAAACTGAAATCAACTTGCTCAATAAGGCTTGCGAAAAGTTGTGCAAATGTTTAGCATTTCAAATGGCGAAAACCCGTCAATTGTTGTTCAAGTCAGCCGGCCTGCCACTCAACGGCGCTTACCTAAGCAATGCAATTTATTAAACTAACTACTTAGGCATGCGAAAATAAGCACATAAAAATAATCCAACACATCCTCAAGGCGACTCAGGCACTCTGCTGCCAAGAAGTGAACGAGGGCCCAATGTGGAGTGAGTGGGAGTGGAAGTGGATGAGGAACTGGTAGTGGAAGGCAAGAGCTGCGAGAAGTAGCAGCTGGAGAACTCAAGTGGCAACACACACTTCAAGGCCCGACTCGACTTGGCTGCCAAAGAGATACTTTCGACAGCATCGCAGGCAGCGGCAACAAAAGCAACAGCACGGCAAACAACAACCAAATCAGTCACAATGGGAGATGCACTGCGCGAAAATACTGAAAACTCTATTTCTGAAAGCGCCACTGTGCAGTTTTATTTGCATTTGGCCGTATTTGGGTGGCAATTTATGAGTTTCCTTCACCAATCATTCAAGTGTTGTGAGAATGCAATATCTGGCTTACCCCCTCCGCTTTCTGCCAGTGCATGCAGCTCCTCGCGACTTAATTGCAATGTGTGGGCCGCGCTCGGCCTTTGCATTATGCATGAACTGAAACACGGCTCGTTATTATCGTTTTGGAGGCGCTGCCTGGCCGACACTAATTGCAATTAAACAATAATGCTGCCGGCAGAAGAATGGGATGCTTCTCGAAGAGATTTGGCACTGCTTGCGAGCTTTGAACGGAAATTCGCTTAGAAAAATGTGTGTAACTGGCTTGTAATTATGGCGCCTCTTTCGCTCTTTTGACGGCGAAAGGCGTTTAATTAAATGTTAATAGCCAGCCCAGCGGGAAAACGAAAACAAGGAAAACAACAACAGCGCAGGCAGGGCAATTAACTTGCGCAGTCTTTGTTTATATGTATTAGCATATCATTAAGCCGGGAAAATAAATGTAAACGCCTTCGCTGCGAGTGCATTATCAACACGCTGACATCCTGGCAGGATGCCAAGATGCTGGAGTGTTTAATTGCCAACGGAAAATGGCTTACAACGAAGTTTGTCTAGCATAATGAGGTCTCTCTATCCCCAAGCGAACATCTCTCTCTCTCTCTCTCGGCAGAAGATCAGATCAACGGAATTTCAATTGACCCCCATCGTTGGTACTGCGATTCCCGCCCTTTTCCACTTAAGAGCCATTCAAAATCAACAAAAAAAGAGCCCAATTTCATTACGCATAACATTTCGACCATCTTCATTGCCATTTCCGCACACTAAGACCTATTCCCATTTAGCGCTCAATGAGCTTGATGTGTTTTTCAATTTTTCGGGCATTCGAGAACGAATCCCAACTGAATAGCCTGCCCCACGATCTGCTCCCTCATATTAAATGCATATCGCAATGCGAATGTGTAAATTTCTGTGGGCCGCTGTGGGTGGATGGCTGGCTGGGTGGCCAGTTAGTCGGCAAAGGGCATGCCGCATCGCCGTGCAGCATGTTTGTGTCACGTTCGCGACTTCATTTGAAATTCATGCATAATAAGCAGTCAAGTACAGGCTTCCACCCACACACCCACATTCACACACGGTTGTGCATCACGAGGGTCGTCGGGTCGACATGGGAGTGGGTGGGCGTGGGCCGAACTCCACGCCGCCTGCTCCACCCACTCCAGCACCCGCCACCCACTCCGCCGCTTGCTGGGCGGCTGCTGCATAAACAAGCATCCAATGTCGGAGCTAATTTTATTAAAAAGCAGCGCCAGCAGCCAACTGCTAAGCTAAAAGGCAAACTGCCGGAGTTGGGAGAGTGTTTTCCAGCACAGTGGATGCAGGCCAACTATTGCGTTTGTTTAATTATATTATATTTGAAATATATTAGGCAAATATTTATTAGGATGCATCTGAAATGAAGATATTTTGCTCTATTTCTAGGATTATTAAGATAACTTTTGGTCATTTTTAACAGAGAATTTCTCAGGGAAACTGAGTGGTTTTATTTTTCCATCCGATTCCATTTGATAAGATCTTTTTCAGCTTAAAAGCAGCGCCAAGTGTTTGCTGTGTTGCGGATCAAGACATATGGCTCAATTTGGTCACAGCCTCCACTTTGACCTCTGACACTGGCTTTGATTTGTGGACTGCCGAGCAGTGAAATATCGTGGTCCATCATCGCAATGTTGTAGTTTCTCCAGCAGACTTTCAGCGTGGCCTCCAATTTTCCACCCCATCCGGCAATTATTTGCATGCAGTTTATATGGCAAGTGTGCCGCCTAAGGAAATTGCAGTTCACGGT